CTTTCTTTATAAAGAAACAAAAACATGTTAATTTTCTGGAGACCTTGAAAACATTTAGATATCTCTATCAGATATTTAAATACTATTTGCTTGAAAGAAACAATATATTTGGATATAGAGGAAGTAATACTAATGAAAAGCTGGTTTTTGTGAGAACTTCAATAAATATGAAGATGATTCACCTAGTGGGCAAAAGGAGAATGCCTGACATTGAAAGGAATCAATGGAGGACAGGCCAGCCTGCCAGCTACAAGAACAACTGAAATGACATTATTTCTGCAGTTCCTGGGGCCATTAAACAACCAAGTGTGACTCTTGCTTAAATTTTTCATGTAATATGGGATCTAAATATATTTTAGAGTATGGCTTATGTGTAAATTTTATCAATGAAAAAGTTGAACAGTTTAAATGACAACTGGTTTCTCTACCATCAAGCTAGTACCAGTTATAGTCAAGGCAATTTACTTTAGATGACCAAAATGTCTAATAATAATCACAGAGCATGAATCCATAGTTGCATCTTATATATAAATTTTCTGTATTTAAATCCACCGTAACTCCAAGCTAGCAAACATTTTTACTCAAACAACGACCAACAATCACAAACCTAAGCCATTCCTGATGAAGGATAAAAGACTGGGTCAGGTTGGATGAATATCCACATGCTTTTTGTCCAATGAATAAGCAGACACTGCACTGAGCTTCTGATTAGCATGAAATAATTTCTGAATCTGGCTCTAGAGTATTATTATAACCTCTGGCACAGCTGGCATCTCATTTGTTTGACTTACTTGGCAGAGAGCTAGGTGGAGTTCCTCAACTCCTATCAAGAAGAGAGAAAATGTCCCAGGTACTCTGGATCCATTTCAGTTGACAAACAGAATAAAACAAGACAAATAGTGCTTACTACCACAGTTCAGTTACACAGACCTTTCAGCATAGAATTTCACTGCAGTACAGCAAAAGAGCTAACGATGACAATTTAGTCCACACTGGGCCAAGATGAGAAGTGGAGGGGGTTGCTGAAGTAAAAAGCAAGATGATCTGGAAATCTAAGACAAAAAGATACTTGGTGTTGAAATATGTGGTTATTGCTGCACAGGCAAGAAAGTCTGTCATTTAATATTCACAATGGAACAGAGTGATATGTCACAGAACTGCAAAACAAAACAATATTTTCTCTATTATGTCTGTATAATCTAACGAACTAACGAAATCTATTTTAGAAGACATAAGGAAATGGACCCTCCAATAGGCATTCATAATGTTTTGTGTATTCTTCAAAAAAATAATTTATTGCATTTTAAGTTATATAATTATTCTTAAAACAGTGACTTCTTTAATTAAGAATATAATTTCTATTATGTGTAATTACATGCTTCTGCAACTGACAATAAGGGCCTGTAAGATACATGATATGTCAAGGTTTTAGCTGATATTCAAACAGTTACAATAGTCACAAAATACTTTGACCCTGTTTATTGGGTTTGGATGAAATCAACTAAAGCATCAGACTCACAAAGTGATATACAGTAAAAGTCCTACATAACACATGGCTTTGAAACCAGTCTCAGTCCTATGCCCAAAAGCAGAGTTACAATGCAGTTCATTATGTTTCTCTCTTAAAGGTTACTATCATTGGTTTCACAATCTTAAATTTCTTTAAAGTTTAGAATTCTTATTTTGTTCAGATTCTATAATACTATTTAAATAAAATCGTTTGTTTTATTGAAGTAATCATTGCAGATATACATTTTAATTCTTTTATCTTTTTTAAAATTTTTATTTTATGTGTATAAGTTGTTATGCTTGCATGTGTGTAGGTGTGCCCATGTCGTGCAGTGCCTGCGGGGAACAGAAGAGGGTGTCAGATCCCCTGGAACTGTAGTTCTGGACGGCTGTTAGCTGCCAGTGGATGCTGGGATTCAAACTTGGGTCTTCTGTAAGAACAGCCATTGCACTTAGCCACTGAGTCATCTCTCCAGCCCCACATATATGCATTTTAACACGTGGTCTTGGAAGTTAGTTTCCATAATAGGAGAAAAGGATCACAATTTATGATTTGCACAACAAAATTCACTCAGGGTATTTTTATTTATTGTGTTTCTAGTCGGAGAAACTTCTTTTATAGAATTCACGAACTATGAAAATGCAGCTAAAAATTTCAGTAGAAATTAATATTTTAAACAAACATTCCAACTAACTTATTAGGTAACATTATTATTTGCTATATTTGAGCTCTGAATAGTAAAATTGTTGAGAATAAATTTTTTTAACTTAAAAAAATTTTACTCATTATTTTTATTTTGTGTGTAAGCATGTATTGCCTGCCTGTAGGTAAGTGCACTCATGTTGTGCAATGCCTGTGGAGGTCAGAAGAGGCTGTCAAATCCCCTGGGACTGGAGTTATGGACAGTTGTTAGCTGTTAAGTGGGTGCTGGGATTTGAAGCTGGGTCTTCTGCAAGAACAGCCAGTGTTCTTAACTGCTGAGCCTTATCTCCAGCCTCGAGAACAAATTTAATTTTAGAAACTGTTCTATTTTTTCAGGAATGCTTTACTTAAAATGTTAGCTTCTGATTCTTCACCATTTGAAGAGTTTATACGTATTTGCTCCCATGATTCTTCTTGCTCCATTGAAATGCATACATCCGTCGCTTTTGTTTTGCCATTTAATTATTTAAATAACACATATTTTAAAGTGTATCATGGAATTCTAAGGCTAACACTTGGATGGATATTAACACAAAATAATGCAGCTGGGTCACAGTTATTGGAAACATTTTCAATAGTTGAGATAGACTTCAGCCATAGATGTGGAAGGGTAAGCATATGGTTCAATGTATGGATTCACATTAAGGCTTGTGTGCAGCTTGCTTATAAACTAAAATCTAAATTAGCTTATGGCATAGATTTAAAAATTTTTGTACTTAAAGTATACCAACTAATGTTATTTAGGCCACTGACTTTTAAATAATTACAAGAGGCATCATAAATGTCTGATGAAACAATCACTTTAATAAGGAAGATATGCTGGGTTGGCATATACACTGAAATCTTAGGAAGGCGAGGAAGGAAAACCAAGGCTCTGCATAGATTAGTGAGTATCCCTCACCCACTGGCCTCTCCTCTTCTCTGCTGGTGAAAGGGAGTTGCCTGGATAGTAGAGATGTGGACAGAAATAAGGCTAGGATAGGCACAGGGACAAAGAACTACCACAGCAGTTTAGAGATGGGAACACTGGGTCACATATTTGGGTAGCGACATTAAAGATAAAGACTCACCTAGGGCCTTGGGACTCAAGAGATGATGCCACAGAGCTGGGCATTTCCTGACAGGCAACACTGAAACTCGATCCCACAGCAGAGAAAGATATCATGTTGAAATATGACTGCTGTCTAACTCTCTTTTATTGTTTGCCTGTCTGTTCTTTTAGGATACAGTAGCTAACTACTGGAAAATCAAGGTGGTGGGAAGAGGATGGTGTGTCATGAGGTTTGACCCCCTTCATCTTTCTCCTACTTTTCATCATGTATAAATAAGTTTCTCTGTGGAACAATGTGCATGAAAAATGGACAATGTTTTTAAAAATGTGACAAACACCATCGATTTGGCTTGCTCAGTTAAAAGTAAGCAATCCAAGAATCAATTTATCTTTCTCACACTGTCTGACAAAACCATCTCCTCACATTTTACTTTCAGTGGAAAAAGATTAATTTTCTGTTAAATTTTGGCAAGGGATTTGGCTAATCTATCAAGGAGGAAATCATCTTTCAAAAGATTCTTTACTTTAAAATTATGTGTTCTAGAACACTTTATTTTACAAAAGGGTCCTAAATACACTATTTCTATGACCTCATTTCCCGATTATTCATCAAAACCTCTATTATAAATATCTTGTAAAAATAAAATTCAAAACCCATGGAAATGGCCATAGATGATAATAAAAATATATGGAGATCTATGATGCTCTGTTTGTGGTAAGTGAAAACAATCTTGACCATCCAGCAGGAAACTGAGTCCAAGTACAGCTCTACCGTGACTCATACAATTTCCGAAAGGATAGGGTAAATGTATATAACTTATGGAAAGTTATTTTCCAGTATTTAATGAAATTAAAGAATCAAAGCAAATTAATGATGTTATTATACTTGTAGAAAACTAACGCACACTGGTGCACATATGCATCAACACAAATACACGCTTATTTGTAAATTTGTAGAAAGTATGTGGAAGGATAGTTATCCAACCATAGTTAGAAGTTACCCTGAGAAAATAGGGGGTGGAATAAGTCAAAAATTTGTACCTTGTAATTCTCAATGGTTTGATTTTCTTAAGGAGCATATATTAAGCTTACAATAGTAACATATAAAAATGACAAGCCACGGATAGAAAGATACTTAACATATACACTTCTTTTTGTAAAGCAGTTTCAGAATTTATCCTAAAAGTTACCACTGTTTAACTTTCAAAGTTGGCACTGATATATAAATAATCTTTTTCATTTTTTTCTTTCTAAGATTTTAAGACTTACTGAAGAAATTTACAATTAGTTACTTTTAAGCAGGGAAAGGATATTATATTTTTTTAAAGAGAAAAATGCATGTTTATTTTTTAAATATATACAGTAAAAATGAGATACTTGTGCAGTTATACTTGTGCACTCTTCAACCACTGATGAAACAGCCTTTACTGATAACAGTTACCACTTTGTAACTCATGTATTGGAAATTTTTTCAAATCATATAAAAATATCTGTAAAAGATAAGTTATTTAAAGAATGGAATAAAAATCCCTGAGTAGGCCAAAGACAAGAGACACAGTGACCAAGATTATAGATGACTAAGACCAAAAGGTATATGTTCATCCAGGTAGTATGTATATATTTATATATGGCATACAAATATATGCATAGACCATACACATACACATCATATTTACATATTTCCAAACTGATGCCTAAGTCCAAGAAAGGTGAATTTCTAAAAATGAAGCACTTTTATGACAGAAACATGTATTTGGGCTAGAAATTCTCATTCTCTTGGCATAAAACTGGTACAGCTAAAACAGACAATAAGTACCTGACAAATGGATGGCTGAATTCACAGGAAGATGAGTTCATGAAAACAGAGCATCTTTTTTTCTTACCTCATAATCATAGCTTAGAAATATGCTAGTCCAGAGCCATAAATGCCACATATTCCTCTATTTAGAAACACATCACTGAGCCAGGAAGTTGTAGAGCTATTCTATATTACTTAGGAAGAATGCACGCATGTTAACTGTTCATGCACACAATCTTCAATATGATGGGCTTTTTGGTCAAATAAATTTATAAAGCATTCTTACACTTTGGAATCTGACACACCATGAACTGGCCATGTCAACACAAGTGTTGTCATGTATTTGACTTCAAGCCAAACAAGGTCACCAACAAATAATTGCTACATCTATGGTAAATAGCTAATTTTGAGAATTTAGAGATAACTGGAAACTTTAGGCTTTCTGGGGGGTCTTCCTTTCTCATGACAAACTTCTGCAATGGAAACAAAGACATATATTAGTTTAGATAAATCCCATTTTCTTATTTCCAAAGACTTCTTATCTTAGAGAAACTTCCTGAAAATATTTTCTACATATTCCCTTCTCCAAAAGCAGTTTATATAGTAGATGAAACTGTGAACATAGAAAGTTTTGTTTTCTCTGTAAGAAGATACCAGCAAATCATTACGCATTTGAATAAGCATAAGCAAAGTCCTTCAAAACTAGTATCTGTAGTTATGAAGAACTTGGAGACAGATAAAAAATTAAAGAGAAGGTTGAACACTACTTAAAAATCTTGACCCAAAACAGATTAACTCTAAGTTGGTAGTTAAACAGTGGGCAGAATGGGAATTCATTTAAAGGCTTAAGCAGTTGCTGGTTTTTTGGGGATTAAATGCCTACACTAGGGACTTTTCTACAGGATATGGCATGTATGCCAAAACGCAAGAAATCTGAAAAGACATCTGAATCTTGAGAACTTTCTAAAAGCATTTTTTTAGTTTTGTCAGTTTACAAAGCTTGGTATGTCTTGGGGTAACACTGCACAAATTTCTGTGTATAAAACAGAAGAAGCAAGAAACAGAAAGGGCTAAGATGAGAACAGCCTGTTGTCTACAATGATTTTTAATTCAGTCCATCACCAAGTTACGCCCACAAAAGGAAGCATCATCGCTCAATGGGTCTACGAAAATGTGGAAAATATTACAGAGACATGGAAATAGATAAACACGAGGTTATGGGACCTGGTTTTAATATGGATTTATATACACACATTCACATCCTTACACATACACATGTCAGTAACTCACGATTCTTCTCATTATTTAGTTCCATTAATTCCCTTCTGGGCACGGAGATTCTTTTTAGCTATTACAGCTATTCAAAGAACAAAAGAATTATACTGCTTGGGCCACAGACGAAAACAGGTGCATTTGTGAACTTCCATTTCTCTTCTGAAAAGTGGCTTTGCTTCTTGGGACAGATGGGAATTCAGTTATCCACACCACGTCTAACAGACGGTCCAAGCAATTCTCACAAGAAGTGATCTCAGAATAATTCTGAGGATCCTTGTTCTCAATTAAAATATTTTTTCCAAGAACCACAAAGGTCGGAGTTATGATACAGATGTCTATAATTTATGAAAGTGACCATTTTTTAAAAGCAGCAATTTGTTTAGGGAAAGGACAGGATACCATGTTGGGAGTGCACCTTAGCTCGAGGCACTGTGGCCTGCAGAGGACCACAGGAGATGAGATGGCAGAAGTTCCCCTAGGTATTTCTAAGGATCTGACTCATGGTACTCCATCCTGCACAGCTCCTCCTGGGACCGGCTTAAGTTAGGTGAAATCCTCCGTATGTTACCAGTGCATACCTGTCCGTGACCGTTTTCTCTGTTTTTTACAAAGGCAATATATAGGAAATACAAATAAACCTAGGGATTAAAAAAATAAAGAAAATTAGGGTAGAATCAGTTAGTTTTGAAATTTCCCAATTTTATTTATTTTCAAACTATTTAAAACAGTCATTATTAACAGTCCATAAACATAAAGAGGGAGAGACCATATTATACAATGAAATACAGTTTTATAAGACTTCATTCTTTATATTTCTCTTTACCCCTCTGTCCCATTAACCCTCAATGATACCAGTTTAAATACAAATAATGCTTTCTACCAAACTATGGAACCTTCTGTTTAAATCTTTTCTATCCACAGCTATTATTGTTTGCATTCTATGAAACTCACATTTCATTTTCGGTCGGTATAAGAATGTAAGTATGAATGATTGCTACTTCTACCACTTTTGAGGTTTAATGGGATTTAATTCCCTCCACTTGAAAGTGCAGATACCATCTGCTTTATAAAGTCCCGACTCACTTCAAGAATGTTATAATTCTATCTCTCCCAAACATACATTACCTATAAATAAAACTATAGGAAAATTTATGTGAAAGATGATTTCATTTAGCAAAAATATTGTATCTACCATAAAGATAATCATTGAAAGCGTTTTTTTAAAAAAAACTTAAAAAATATTTTATTTATTTATTTAATTTTCTATTTATGAGTGTATTGCCCACCGGTGTGTAAGTGCACCCATGTTGTGCAGTGCTCATGGAGGTCAGAAGAGGGCATCGGATCCCCTGGAACTGGAGTTATAGATGGTTGTAAGAATAACCAGTGTTCTTAACCTCTGAGCCATCTTTCCAGCCCCTGAAACAGCTTTTTTTTTTTTGGTCTTTTTGAGACAGGGTCTCTCTGTAGCCCCAGCTGTCCTGGAACTCACTATGTAGACCAGGCTGGCTTTGAACTTACAGAGATCCACCTGCCACTGCCTCCTGAGTGCTGGGATTAAAGGCATGTGCCAACACAACTGGCCTGAAACAGCTTTTATTGAAAGTATTTAAATAAAAAATTTATATAGCAAAGCATTGTGAAGTGTGGTCCAGGTGGCATCAACAACATCTGCAAACATTTTAGAAATATAAATCTACGGGCCCAGCCACTATACGGCGTTAGAAAGGGTAGGAACCAGCAATCTCTGCTCTCATCACCCCTCCTAGCTTTTCCACAGCATGCTAAAGTCTGAGAACTACAGCTTTAATATGTATGTTTGTAGATTGAGAGTCTCTCAAACACACTCTGTCCAAAACATGTTCTTCTAATCTTATCCATCCCATGCTCTGTGGCCTTCCAAGGCAAGGCACGGAGCAGAAATTATACTCACTCCCTAACTGCCTCATACCATCACATTTACACTCATTATTTCTTCCACCATCAGAGAATCCTAATCTCAAACATGTTACATATTTCTTACCGATTACAACTGCTATGGCCCCTAGTGCTAATCCCAAAACCAGGATTAGAGGTGCAATGAATAATTTTCCAGCTGGAAAACAAAAAGCAAAATAATTTAAAGAGTCTCAAAGCTAATTTACCAAGCAAATGTACTATTTTAAATATCACAACTTATATTCTTTCTTTAAAGGAGTACAATTACAATTAAAGTAATATTTCTCAGAGAAATCCTTATGGTGTAGAACAGATGTACTCACGTAAATTTATTACTGCAGCTGAAGGACACATTGCTACAAAATCCTGGTCATGAGTCAGATATCCACAAATCATTTATTCTTTACAACCAAACATAATATAATTCATTATACTATTTTCCTTTATATTTCTTCTACTTTCAATTTTGAAAATGCTGACAGTCTCGTAGGCAATCTAATTAGCTCACAACATTGGCAAGATGGTAGGGGTAACCGAGGGCTTGTGACCAGGCCTGCATCTAAGAAAAGGTCTTTATTTACTCCCTGGGTAAAAAGAAAATCCATGAACATCCACTAGACTGAGCTACCAGTAGGATGTTTGAAGACAACTGCTAGAGAAAAATACCATTGAATAAAAAATGTGTTGTAAGCAATTCAAGAGAGTCATTGTAGCAAATTTAAAAAGGAAGCACTTAAAAGAGGGTTCAGTGCTGGTGGGGATGCCACACTTGGCAGTATCAGCTGGCATCTTCTCTTCTGAATGAATAATTGATCAGTGATAATATCACTGCAGCCTCATGTAATCACAGTGCAGAAGCCAGCAGTGGAAGCCCCTTGCTTTTGAAAAGCACTAACACACAAAACCAGGCCAGTAATTCATGTCTCGTCACTGTGCAGTCACCTTCAGGCATGTGCCATGACTCTATAAACTGATGCCACAGGTGGTGTGGAAAGAAAGGGGAAATCTGCAGTAGAATGAACAGCTGACTAGACTCCAGTGGATGAACCTGCCCTGAGGGACATCTGGATACAAATGCTTGACTGGACAGGACTTAACATGTATGACAGAATGCATGAAATCCAGAGGGGGTTTTGGGGGCACACAGATGGGGAGGGGGGTCTAAATTTGATTAAGATCTATTATATGAAGGACAGAAAAACTCAATAAAAATACTAAAAAAATAATAATAAAGCAATACCATTCTATAACTTCAGAGCAGCTACCAAGAATAAATAATTACATGAGAAAAGAAAAATGTGAAGCAGCTATTTGTTGGAATTTTGAAAGAAAAATACTATGTGACACAAATAATAAAATACTAGACACAAATAAAGTACATGAATGAAATACAGTTTTATGTATGTAATTTAACAATATAGTTTAATGAATTTAGATGTCATTGTTAATTTGACATAATGTCTAACACCAATGACAAATTTCAGTTAACACTAAATTTCATTGAACAATTGTGTTTGTGCACTCTTTGAGCTATGCTGAAGAGTTTAGAATATAGTATCTAAGTTTACATATTTTAAAAGTGTGTTTTTCTTCTCTATAGCCTCAGTCTGATTCACATTTCCTTTTAAATTAATTACCAACACACTTTTCTCATAGCAACAGAACATGACTGTCAAGTAACAGCACTGACTTTTCTCTTCTCAAATATCAATGAATTCAAAGAACATGTTTCTTTCCTTTGCGAAGGAATAAACTTGACAGTATAAGACATGGTTAGGTGAACTTCTGCGATTGCCTTGACTGGGGTAAGCAGGCTTCTCTTATCTGATGCCAGTAACAATTCTTAAATTCTTCAATAGAATTGTTCAAAAGAACAATTCTTCAATAGTTGAATATAATATTTTTCATATCCTATTTAAATATTTCTATAAATGTTACTTGATTTTTGCTATTATAAGTAGTATTTTCACATAAACCATTGCTAGTTTATCTAGAGTTACTGTTTATTTATTCTTTTGAGTTAAGGTCTTGTTTGAAAGCCCAAGCTTGCTTTGAACTTTCAGTCCTCTTGCCTCAGCCTCCTGAGTCCTTGGAATTCAGACAGCCTCACCATGCTCAGCCTGATTCACTGTGTTTTAAAATGTCCACACTACTATAGAACCTCTTTTCCTCTCATCACCCCTTCTCTTTTATTTTATTGAGACAAGTTCTTATTATGTAAATAAGTGAATTCATGATCTTTCTGCCTCAGCCTCCTAAGAATGGTGGAATTCCAGGTAAGTGTGCATTATCATGCCGATACTTTTATAGTTCTTTCAAAAATAATTGTACAAAATATTCAGTGTATAATAATATTCAAAATATTCAGTATATAATAGAAAAGTTTAGCATTAACCATTAATGACAACATGTATATTAGTTAATAATTTAAAATAACTTGAATAATTTAATTTACATTTCTCTAACTAGTAATAACATTTTTTCCTTTTTTATTGAAATTTTATGAATTTCATACAATACATTTTGATTATATTAGATACCCTCATGTATCTGCACCTCCCCTCATAACCTCCCATCAAATGTCCTATACCTTAATATAAAAGGCCTATAGAATCAGGTTTGTGTCCCCAAATGTCCTTCAGTGTGGGTTCATTTACTGAAGCCTGATCAACCTTCAAGAGTCTCACTCTCAAATGAGACTGACTCTCCCCTTCCTAGCAGTACTTCCTCAGGTAGGGTTGGGGTTTCTTACCTACTTCTACACTTCTATGCTGGGATTTTGTCTGACTTGAGCTTACTTGGAACTTGTCTATGCTGTCACCATTTCTATGTGAGTTCATAAGAATAACTGACCAGCTGTCTGGAAAACTCTATTTCCCTGTGGTCATCTAGCACTTCTGGCTCTTACAACCTTTCTGCCCCCTCTTCATCAATGATCCCTGAGCCTTGGGAGGCCAAAGTTTGATATAGGTGTCCTATTCCGGGATAAGCAATCTGCAGCCTCATATTCTCTGTGCATTGGCCAGTTGTATTTCCCTGTGTAATCACCATCTGTTGTATTTAGCATGAACATTACCCATCTGTGAATCCTGCAAGCTACAACAACTGGCCTGGCAAGATTTGGCCATGGGTGCGACAGTAGAATTAATATTAAAGGTGTAACCAACTACTTTCTAATTGGGTTTAAGGTTTACTTCATAGGATGAAACCCATACCTTATATTGATATCAGGCCTAGGAACCTGAGGCTAGATAACCCATAGGCCATGGGAGAGAACCTAATACAATTATTCTGCAAAACAGATATGGTATTAAACTGATTTCTGATGATTTATTATTATATTCATAGATCAATGCATCTCTCAACTCTCAGCAGAGAAGCTTCCTTTAAACATTTGAATATTTTCAATATGTTCAATGGCTATTTGTAACTCTTTAATTCTGGTTTCAGGCTTCTTTGTCTGCTTCTTTTAGATTTTTGAGACAGGGTCTTGCTACACAGCCCAAGCTAACCTCTATCTGCTATATAGTCCAGGCTGACCTCAAACTCTTGATCCTCCTGCCTCAAGATCCAAACAAAATGCTGGGCTTACAGGCGTGCATCACTATGTCTCATCATTGTTTTTTTCTTTATCTGCTAGCTGTTAGTTTTACTAATAAAATACACAAAGGTATATCATATCATCATTTCTAGAGATACTACACAATTCTATTTTATGGCTCTGAAAGGTATGTATGCTTTTTAATCTTTATCTTCTGTTTCATGCTGTGCTATACTGTGCATACTTTATGAATCAACAAACTTAAGACATCTGTTATTGTCCATACAAAACTATATATGACATTGCCCTTTTTATCGATTGGCTTACACTCAATGTTTCAGAAGTTTAAGAGGTTGTTTAAACATGGAAAGTATGTCCTATTTACAAACTTTCGATGTTGATCACAAAAGGAAAGATTCTCTTCCTATGTGGTGGTAAAGACTCTACTAGAATCCCTAGCACATAGCGAGTGCTCAGAATTCTCATGACTGATATTTCTAAGTTTTCTTATCACTACTCAGCTCCCAAGGAAAATACTCATGTGTGTGCTGTACTCACCACAGACTGACCCTCGCACTAATCTTCGCAAATGAGGTCTCTCTGGGAGGTAGCGATATTTGCATCCAAATATACTGAGGTTTGATGTGTGGTCTCCAAAAAAACGGAGCTGGCGATATCTCTCTCCACATCGATAACAAAAATTAGTGTTACACTGTGAACACGTCATGTGGTCACATCCTTCTGTTCTTTGGATATGGATCTGGATAAAGAGGCAAACAGAAGGGAAAGCTATTAAAGTCTTTAAAAAGTAAAATCTACCACATTTTATGGAACAAGTTTTACCAAAATAAAAGGTCACATGTGGTGTTATTCCTGAATTTGCTTATGATCATATCTTCCAAGATTGTGTTTTTCTTTTTCTTTTTTTAAAGGGAGGGTCACATTTTATAACCCAAGTTGGCAAAGAATTATGTAACCCAGGTTAGCCTCAAACTAATTGTAATCCTCCAGCCTCAGCTTCCCAACTGTTGGGATTATGGGTGTACACCACAATGCCATGCCCAAGAATATATTATTACTTATTACTTCCATATGTTTAAAGCTTGGTGACATTTTGGGTACCTATGCTTTTTGCAGACTTTGATCAAGATGTAGACAATCAAATTCCAGGGAAGATTTCTTTTTTTGCCTTTCTAGACATACATCTAAACCAATGGTTAGGAGACAGTTCACAATGCTGTGAAATTTGGCTTATGCCTTGATCAGCAAGAGTGATAAAATATGGTGGGGTGGGGAGCGGCAGAATAGTCCTTAAAAGAAGGAATTCTGTGACATTTTTAATGAGTAAATACCAAGGAGGAGAAATTTCTCTTTGCCAAAGGAAATTAGAGCAGATATATGTGCATTTTCAATATTATTTTAGTTTCTAATGCTAATATCATTTGCAATGTTGTTTGTAGGACTTTGTACAATGTTATCTGTATTAGTTATTCTTCTGTTGCTTTGATAAAATACCATGATGAAAAGCAACTGAAGGAAGAAAGGGTTTATTTTGGTTTATGGTTCCAGAGGGATAGAGTGCAGCATGGTGGGGAGTTATGGCAATGGCAGGGAGAATATGGCAGTAGGAGTAGGAATCTGCCTGTTTGAATTTCTATCCACACACAGGAAGCAAGCAGAGAGTGAGAACAGGAGGTAGGTTGAGGCTATAAACTCTCAAAGTCTACTCCCAGTGATGTACTTTGTCCAGCAAGGGTCCACTTCTTAAAGGTTCCATAAGTTTCCCAAACAGCGCCACCAACCGGAGACCAAGTATTCAAATGCATGAACCAATGAGAGACATTTCTCAATCAAGCTACTACAGCATCCTTGCAAGTAAACACTTTCCCCTGTTGCTGCATCAAGTTACATGTAACCACAGCTTTCCTCATAATGTAACAAGAACTGTATTGTTGGATGGTACATCATATACCCAAAGTGGTGTCACCATCTCAAGCACTGAGGCCTTGCTATATATTATTATCAAGATGTTTCTTGGGGACTGGAGTGAAGGCTAAGTGGTTAAGAGTACTGTCTACTCTTCCAGAGGACCTGGGTTCGATTCCTAGTACCTACATGGTGGCTAACAACCACCTGTAACTCCAGTTCCAGGGGATCTGATACCCTCTTCTGGCCTCTGTGGGCTTTGCATAACACAGGTGCACTTACATACATGCAGGCAAAACACTCATACACATAAAGTAAATTAAAAAAAATTTTCTTTAAAAAGATGTTTCTTTGTTATATAGTTGAATGCTTCCCTCAGCATCCTTGTGGGCACTACATAGTAACTGAAGTTATCTTTCACTAAAAAAAATGTGTGCATTTTGCCTGTTGGGTGAATAACCATAAAAGAGAAGTTAACAGTATAACAGTTATTAACATATTTCATCAAAAGAAAAATAATTTGGCATACTACCCAGTGGGTAAAATGAGCTCTTAAAAAAAAAATCTCTCCATTTTGCCATGGAGTGGGCACTTACTTTAGTCTGGACACATCTTCACTCATTCACATACATTTACAATGAGAGCATTTGATACTTATCCCATCATATAATGAAATACAATGAAACATACATGTCATACATGCCACAAACACATCATATATAATATATAAATTCTTTGCTTAGAATTTTTGTTTAAAACGAGTCTAGAGACCTGTTCAAGAAACAAAGATAAGAAAAGAATAAACATTCTTTGCCCTCAAAAAAAAAATGTTCCCACTACTACTTTTACCACTGTAAACCTCTAACCAGGATTTTGCTTTGAGACTTGTGTGTTGATGAATGCCTTAATACAGTTGGGAACTTTAAAATTAATATGAGTCAAACCCACCAGAAGTTGTCTGGCTCTTGTTGCTAAGTCATGGCTACAATCCACAACTTTGCAGATTTCACTGGACATTCCACTCTCTTTCCTTAAGTTCACAGTGTAGTTCTTCAAAGCTGGTCATGACCTGGTAACACACACCTGTAATCCCAGAACTCAGGGGTCTGAAAGAGGATGAGATTGAATTCCAGGCCAGCCTGAACTATATAAGGAGACCCTATCTCAAAAATGACAAAACAAAAAGCAAAAACCTTGCCAGTGATTATGGATGGTTCTATGACCATCTAGGAAAAAAGAGAAGAATTCTTTGAAAGAGAAAAGGTTGATAAATAGAAGCAATCACGTATTTTAAAACATAACCTTACATCATAGGTTTTGAGAATAGAAATTTTTGAACTTGCTAACTCTAGATCACAAGCAGTATCTCAGTTTTAGTGATTAAACTGATTTAAATAAGCAATATGAAGTTTAAAATCCTTTTTAGGACTTAGGAAGCTATTTGTAAAATAGTAACAGATATTAATGGCAATGGTAAATTTTTCATATGAAAAATACACACATTTATAAATCTGCCTGTCTGCCTATCCTCTACTTAACTCTCTGAGAGCTTCAAGGTGAAGAAATGGTAATTTGGCAGAGGGTGGTCCTTCTTTATAAATAAAAATTAGATACAGGGCCCAAAAGAACATCTGTGCAGGTGAAGCCTTCCAAAGCGTAGGATCTTCAGCCTCCTGGTAAATCAAACCTTAATTCAGCACACACCTTTCCTGTGTGTATTTATCAATAACTATAGGACCATATCCATGTAGTACAGCAGATGGCACTAAGAAATAACATGGCCTAGGGCTGGAGATGAAGCATGTAGCCCTGGATTTGAGCCATAGCACCTCATAAACTGAGTATGGTGGCCCATACCTACAATTCCAGCACTCACTCAGAGACAGGGGAGGCAGGGGGCCCAGTTCAAGGCCATTCTCTGCCAGAAAGAAAGTTCAAGGCTAACCTGGGCTATATATGACCCTGTCTCAAAAAAAAAAAAAAAAAAAGCAGAAACAGAAATAACCATAGGTCTAAGTACTAGGAGAAGGCATGCTTGAGACAAATGCTAAGTACTCAAAAATATGCAGTCAACTTTTCACTATATGCTGCATTAAAATGGAGATAACAGTTAAGAATGTTCCTGAAAACACAGCAGTGTTGTAGGTAACCAACCTATAAAAAGAAAAGGACTAATATTTCTTTACAGCCTACTGTGTGCCAAGCATTGAACTCAGGTGGCACTTTTAAGCATCCTAACTGCCACTCTTATTTATAACCCGAGCTCTGAGTGACAGTACTTTGTCTGAGTGACAGTCCTATGGAGTGGAGAAAAATTTGAATTTGTATCTGTTAATCATGTTAAGCATCCTGTTACTATGCACTTGACAGTAAACACAGAAGGTCAATCACATTCTTTGCTAATCAGCAGTGTAACTTCTGTTATAGTGAGAGTCGCAGCTGCACTCTCCCCACACGTCTTATCTGAGCTTTTCTGCTACTTTGGGTGAATTCACATTCTTCTTTCAAAATAGTATCAAAAATTTGTCTGATTAGAAACTTGCTCTAATAAATTAAACGTGTACTAATAGTACATTTGCCTCAAATTTTCACATGTAATTTTAACTGTCATTTTGTATCTTCTTTTAATACTGCCTTTTGGTTCTAAAGTCTTCATGCTTCCTATTTGTTATTCAAAGATGTAGTTTCTAGCCTCTCCCTTCATAATCTTTCCTTATTACTAATATAACATTCTGAATACAGTAGGCAGCTGAAATGTTGTTGGTAACTGGTATTTCTGCACAGGAACTCTGATTCTATAGATTAATCTGAATATTTTATATACTTAAGAGCAAAGATCTAATCATGGAAAATGGTGTCCTAATTCACCATCTCTCAAGCATACAATGTTTTCTTCAGTATTGTGAATATATCTTGATTGTTATAATTTAAATTTAAAACATCTCTCAGACTCATATTTTAAATGCTGTTTCCCAGCTGGTGGTTCTGTTGGGTGAGACCAAAGAGCTTTCAAGAGGGCTTTAGCTGGAGGAAGCAGGTTATAACCCAGCCCTTGGTTCTGGCCACACTCTGCCTTCTGGCATGGCAGGATGTGAGCAGCCTTGTCCTGATGTTCCTGCTGCCACAGATGGAGCCATTCTGCCATGACTTCCCCACTGTGAGGGGCCAAATTAAGTTCTTCCTCCCTTAAATAGTTTCTGTCAGACCTCATGATTACAGTGGGCCAAAGTAGTGAGTACATTTATATAAAATACATTTTATTATTTTATACTTCCAGAGAAATACACTGGCACAATGCAAGTTCATATTAACAGGAGACATAAATAACTTAGATTTACTAAGCAACTTGCAATTCTGAACTCCTAACACTCAAGGTATAATAAATTCAGTATGCTAAATAAATTCCTAGGGGACATATATTTAAAGCTTAAAGTTTGATAATAATGTCATATTTTTCATAAAACAAAGTTTTAAAACAGATTAAAATTATATTTACATAAGATTCATTGTTTTCTCCAATAAGAATGTCTTTATTTTTTGCTGAGTTTCAAATCGTTCATCATATTAGCTCCCCTAAAAATAAACTAATCACCCAAGTGGCTACAATTTAACATAAAAACCTATTAGATTACACTGAGAACTCCTAAGGCACAGATGCGCCATGACTTGTTATTCTCTTCATCTATAATAAATGAGGAGCACTTTTTTGGAATTCAATATTTATATACCAAACGTTCCTTATATCTCTCACACCTAAAGTCATGAGATGAAATGTTGAGAATACCCTCAATAAGAGCCTGATATTAAGGACACAGTGTAATAGACAAAAAATGA